TATAATTTGAAATTTAAATCTCAAAGAAAATAAGGATTTTATAACCAATGTGGTTGCAGCATTTAATTAATTATATTTCCACAGAATAGTAGTGTATTTATATTTTTGTGTTTCTTATGATACCTTTAATTCTGTACCCTGCCTGGAGTCTTATTTTATTATTTTATATTTTATTATGGTCAGCCAGATGTTTAGACTGGATCTGATTTTTACCCACTTATCTAGAGCTGTGAGGGCACAGTGGTTAGAATGTAGTATTGCAGGTTAACTCTGCTGACTGCCAGGAGTTCAATCCTGACTGACTCAAGGTCAACTCATCCTCCCATCCTTCCGAGGTTGGTAAAATGAGGACCCAGACTGTTGGGGGCCATATGCTGACTCTGTAAACTATCCAGACAGTGCTGTACAGCACTGTGAAGTAGTATATAAGTCTAAGTGCTATTGCTAGTCCTTCCCAAGGACCTGACACAGGCAAAGTTGCCTGATGGTATTAAATATATAGACATAGGATGTAATTTTTTCAAAGTAAAGCTGCCTTTTGCAATTGACTGATGATATTCAGGTGATGCTCTAGGTCAGACATGTCAACTCAACGACCGTGGGCCAGATCAGGCCTGCGATGGGTATAGATCTGGCCTGCAGGGCCATCTGGAGATGGTGAAGGGCCAGACACTGCCACCTCAGCCCCAACCCACCTCAACCCAGCTGGGCACTCTGCCTGGGTACATGTACAGGAGGTGTTGAGCACACAGGGAATAGAAGTGCCCAGCAGCAGCTGCAGCTCATTGGTCTCTCGGCTGCTCATTGATTGGCAGCAATGGCTAGCTGGATATGAGCCTGAGGCGTCCAATAAACTATGCTTGGCCCACCCCACACGTACCACACTTGTGCACTTCTGGGCCCCTCAGTCAGGCCACTCCCGCTCTGCTACCTGCCTTGCCTTGCCTCACCCCGTGTTCAGCCCTGCCCCACATGCAACGCATGTGCAATGCACATGCCATACACTTGTGCACCTTGGGCCCCCACAGCTAGGCCATCCCCACCCACTATCTGCCTCGACTTGCTTCGCCCCACAGCGATGGTATTGGTAGAAGTAGCAGCAGCGGCAGCAGCAGCCGTTTCCAGCAGGAGCCCCACCACCCCTCCACTCTTCTCCAGCCCATGAAGTCTCCTAGCCAAGGAGAGCGAGCACAGTAGCAGCATCCTCAAGGAGGAGATAAGCAGGGCTGGGTGCCCCCTTGGGGAAGTGGGCTGGGCTTGGCTGTGGGGCCCTTGTCCCCCCTTGATGGCCAGGCTGGGCAGCCCATACCACCATCCGGGGTTCCTCTGCGTGGCCTGAGAGGGACAGTGAGACTCCTCTGATGGATAAGGCTTTGGTGCTAGCCCTCGTTGTGCCTTCCTCCTCTGGATCCCCCCTCCCAGCCTTGCCTGGTGTTGACCCGGACTTAGAGGACAGTATTAATTGTGATACAGGCAGATGGCCCCGCTATCTCTAGCCATTTGCAGAAACATGAATGCAAGGTCATAAAAGGAAAGCAAAGGAAACACCCAATATCCTAACCCACTTGGGAACATATGGTGTCTTAGGGAAACACCTAAACCACGCAAAAGGGAACATATGGTATCTTGCGGAAACAACCCAAAAGGACACATTTTTAGCTACTTCTGCTTTCTTCCTTCTTATCTACAATGTGCCAGCATTAAAGGGTGAAGTCTTTATCTTATGTGTGTCAGCTTTGCTGGGTGAATTGCTTATGTAATCAAAGAAAGTATATGAATATATACTTTGGGGCTTTTTCTCTCTTTTAGAGAAGCCCGTCTTTGTTCAGCTGAATAAAAACATAAAGCTTGAAGGTAACTTCTGGTGTCCTGTATTTTTTATCAAGCAAAACCTCAGAACCTGCATAGCACTGGCCCCTCACAGGTGCCCCTCAATGTGAGCAAAGTCCAGCTGGCCACGTTGAGCTGGTCATGCCCACCCAACCATGCCCACCTAGTCAGCTGTGACCACTCAGCCATGCCTATGCCGCCTAGCCTCCTGGTCCTTTTTGGACAACCATAATGCAGCCCTCAATGAAACTGAGTTTGATTCAGTTGCTCTAAGTGTTTTGGGATTGAATCCAAGATACCTATTACTATTGGTACTATTTTGCTTTCTTTTGCTACAGTCATTCTACTTCTATTTGCAGATCTTTGCATTTTGGCATCTTCTCCAGTTCTTTTTTTTTCCTATTCTTTGTCCACATTTTTTGGTCCTTTTTATCAGGAATTGTTACGTCTGTGGTGTTACATAGCAGGTGCCTGTCTGTCTGAATTCTTAAATCCCAGAGCACTTTAAATTCTTTATTTTCTATTACTTTATCTATTTTTTGATCCCACCAGTTCTTGCTTGCAGGCAAATGGTATTTCTTATTATTATCATCTTATTATTTCTGCCACTAGTAGGGCAACATTATAGAGAAGGCAGAAAAAAAAAGATATCACCAGGTTATGTTTGTGCCACAGTTAGATGTAAATAGATATGGTCAGATTGTGCATACAATGTGGAGACAGTTAAATATCTAATTCAGTGTTTTTCCTTTCTGAGAAGATTGATACTTATCTCACAACTGCCAGGCCATGTCAGGGGGAAACAATCAGGCATATTGTGCTGGTGTTACTGAGTTATCATCAGTATGAATAACTTTACACTTAATATTTCTTCCTGCAACACTTAAACAGCAGTAACAACAACAGCCCAGACACAAGCTCAGTTTACACTGCACAGCTTTTCACTACAAAAATAGAAAGTCAAGAACCCCGCAAGAACCAAAAACTCTCAACTTCCTTCAACCAGTGGAGAAATCTGCTTTCTTCCTATTTGCAATGATGTTTTTAGTTGCAGCACAATGACATCTCTATGTATGTGGAGGAAAAACTTTCCTCACCTGCCAATAGGCCAATAATTTATGTTAGTCATGTACATTTTGTACATAAATCTTATCTATCTATCTATCTATCTATCTATCTATCTATCTATCTATCTATCTATCTATCTATCTATCTATCCTTATAAGTTACCCCTGTAACACAGAATCACAGTCATATTTGGAAGAAAATATTATTAAATCAAATATCCCTAATCTTCCAAAACAGCATTTAACAATGGTACAAAAATATTTATTAACTTTACAAGGTAAGGAGTATTGTGTAAGGTTATCTTTTTGAAAATATAAAATTATTAATTTTTATATGATTAAGGTAGATCTGGTAAGTCTTGACACAAAAATGTTTAAATTACTTGATTAGGGAATGCAATTTTCTGTTAATCTAGATCTGTAGCTTCTGACTCTATGTCAAATACTTTTAACTGTTATGTTAAAAGATATAATAGATACTATTATCCTTCAATGTTGATTTTAAAAAAATATTGTTCATCAAAGACCTTAGGAGACACTCATTTCAGAAAAGCATTATTATTGTTATTATTATTACAGTAGTATAATAAAGAACCTATATAATGGAGAAACCAATAGAGCAGGAGTTACTTCCAATTTCCTGCTGGCTTCCCCATTGAATTTTCTTGCGCAAAGCTGACAAGGAGCATCAGAAATCCTTCCTTCCATCCTCCCTCCCTCCTTTCCTCCCCCCTCCCTCCCTCCCTCCTGCTCATTTTATCCTCTGTTCTTTTTGCCATCTACCTCTATGCAAACTCATTTTTAAAACTGCTTCTAATTCTTCTGAAATGTGTTTTTGGAGCAACTTTATCGGTGATTCTGGCTCCAGTTACAAAGCAAGGTTTGGTAAGTATCCTGACTCCCCACAAGGGGAATGAACCATTTTATACAATGCAAGATTATGAGTTTGCCAGAATAAGATTTTTTTAAAAAAAATGTATTAATGAATCTGTATTTAAGATTCAAAGTAACATTAAATAATATTAAATTATAGCTTTTATTCATCATTGTACATACTTTTATGAACTAAAGCTATTGGGATATGATTTCCTCATATAGAAAACTGCAGGTCACAAAGATTAGAAACAGGGACAGTTTTTTCCATTGTGCCATCACTCTGCTGAACACCCAATTCTCACAGTCTATTTACCTATGTTGTATGACTGTAATTTTATTATTTATCCTTATTATCTTCTTTACTTCCCCCTCATTGATATTATTGTTGTTATTGTTGTTGTTGTTGTTGTTGATGATGATGATGATGATGATAATAATAATAATAATAATAAAGTTACCGTATATGCCGGCGTATTAGGCGACCCGGTGTATAAGACGACCCCCGTCTTTATAGCCGGGCCGCATTCCTAGAACGTCGTCTTATACGCCGGAAACTACCAGTATTTCCGGCATATAAGATGACTCAGCGTATAAGACGACCCCCCGTCTTTGGCGCCGATTTCAGCGCTCGCGGAAGTCGTCTTATACGCCGGCATTTACGGTATTATTATCTTCATCATTGTTCTGCTGCTTTGCATGTACACTGAAAGCTTCTGCACTGGAGACAAATTCCTTGTGTATCTAATTACACTAGGCCAAATAAATAGTAATGGTCAAAATGCTAGAAATATAAATTGATATTATTACAGAGCATCACCTAATAAAATTAAAGGTTTGTATTCCTAAGAATAGTGCATTTATCATGATTTAATAGCTGGATTCATATAATGTAATAAAACACAATGTTTACATTCATATAACACACTATACTCATACAAATAATGCACATTATTGCACTAACAATCTGGTTCATACAGCAAGTTAAGATGCCTGCTGAGATCTGCCAACATTTGAATCCAAAATTTCTCAACCTTATTCTACTGTAGTCTACGTATTATTTGCACTGAACCAATGTCAATATGAGATGATTTACAGATAAGTAAAGCTTATTCCTTTAAATAAGCCTTAACTGCACATGATTAATATGCAGAATTAATGTATGAATTTACACGCTTTGCTTTTTGAAAAGCCTGAAGAGTTTAGATCCAAAACAATTTGGTTCCTCACCTCCAGAATGTGGTGGTGGTCCACAAAGCAGCACCATTCCTTGTCCTTGTCGGACTGAAACTGTACTCCTCGTCCTGGTTTTGAAATTTTCAAGATCTGTTAGGAACAGACAAATAAAAATATGATTACATGTTATTACAATCAGTTTCAAACTAAGAAGGGCAGAATATTGTTTACACTGAATTATATCTGTATGCAATGTGGGAATAGGTCATCTTTCCAGAAAGGTATCCTCTAATCCGCAGTCCTCTCTCTGATCAATTTGGAAGGCATAGTCTTTGTTTATTTCTATCGGTTTCTGTGGTAAACAGTTTTGTGTTCTGCCTCATTTGATCACCAGGTTTAAAGTATTTTGTAAAGATATGTTTTGATGAGTTCTTTTTTTTTTTTCTTTTTTTTTTTTAATTTTTATTCATTAATACAATTAAAACAACAATGGACAAACATGACATTCCAGAGTGAATTTTTCTATCAGTTCCTATCATAGTACAAAAATTTTATAATTTTATAATTTTTTGTTCTTAACCTCTATATAAACCTCATCTTTTATACAATACAATTATATATACAATTATATGTACAGTTATGTATATCTTTTAGTTCTACCATTAGTTTGAAGTCCGAGCAGTTCTTAATTCATACCAGCGGTAAAATTTGCCCCAGATTTCGAAGTATTCGTGTTCCGTTTTGTCTTTCATAATCATTGTAAGCCTGTCCATCTCAGCACATATTAAAATTTTATGCAGGATCTCTTCTTCCGTTGGGGTTTCCTTGTTCCTCCAATTTTGAGCAAAAACCAGCCTGGAGGCCGTTAAAATGTGTAGCATTAAATAAAATACGCCTTTGTCATGTTTTTGCGTAGTTAAACCTAATAGAAAGAGTTCTGGTTTTGGTTCTACCGCTTGCTCTAATATTTCTTCCAACCAAATTTTAATCCTGTTCCAAAAATCACGAGCTCGCGTGCATTCCCACCACATATGATAGTAAGTTCCACTTTTCAAATTGCATTTCCAACATTTAGGGGAGACATTGGTATACATTTTAGACAATCTTGTGGGTGGGAGATGCCATCTATAAAACATTTTGTAAAGGTTCTCTTTGTAAGAGGTGGCCAAAGTAAGCTTCTTGTTTCTTGCCCATAGTTCTTGCCATATATGCAGATCAAAATTAAGACCAAAATCCTTACTCCAATTCAACATAGTCACTTTTACTTGTTCCTCGTACGTTGCCTGATCTAGCAAATAATAGTATAGTTTTTTAATCATTTTATCCTCCGACCCCAAAATTATTTTATCCAATTCTATTGGTTCTAATTTAATACCTAACTCTTTTTTGTCTTTCCGATATCTTGCCTGCAGTTGCAGGTATGCCCACCATTCTAATTCTATCCCTTCATCGTGGATGGTTTTCCTGGATTTCAATTCCCCTCTTTCATCTAAATATTTTTATATGTTATGATCTTGTCTAATTGAGTAAATTTTGGGTGTACATATATTTCTAACGGTGAGATCCAACTAGGTACTTGGGTATAATTTGGTTGCCAAATTTTTGTCCATACATCAATAAGAGCTTGCCTAATATAGTGACTTCGAAAATATTTATGTACTTTATATTTATGATCCCATAATATGGCATGCCATCCTATTTGTAGGTCATGGCCCTCCAGACACAATAGTCTCCTATTTTTTAGTAATATCCAATCTCTTACCCATACTAATGCTGCGGCCTGGTAATATTTCTCCAAGTCTGGAAGACCAAATCCCCCCCTTTCCTTTGAGTCCTGTAGTAATTTTAATTTAATCCTTGCTCTTTTTCCTTGCCAGATGAATTTACACATCATTTTGTTCAAATTTTGAAAAAATTTCTTGTCTAATTTTATAGGTATACATTGGAACAAAAATAAAATTTTTGGCAACACATTCATTTTAATCACCGCGATTCTGCCCGTAAGAGAGAGCTGTAGGTTAGTCCAAATATCAAAGTCTTTTTGAATCTGTTCTATTAACTTATCATAGTTATCCCTTTTAAGCGTAGCGCATTTGGCAGTCAGTTGTATCCCTAAATGTCTAATTTTATTTGTAATTTGAACACCAATTCTATCAACCAATTCACTTTTCTGTATTTTAGTCATATTTTTGACAAGCATTTTAGTTTTTTCTTTATTTATTTTTAAACCTGCTATTTCCCCGTATCTATTCAATGTTTCCATCAGCCTAATCCCTGATTGTAGTGGTTCTTCAATAATAAAAACTAAATCATCTGCAAAGGCTTGTATTTTAAATGTCTCTTTCTTGATTTCTAGACCTTGGATCTGTTCATCTTGCCGGATTGCTCTAGTTAATACCTCGAGAGATAATATAAATAACAATGGTGATAGTGGGCAGCCTTGCCTTGTGCCTTTTTGCATTTGGAAACTCTCAGTCAGTTCTCCATTGATTATTACTTTGGCCACCTGCTTAGAGTAAACTGATTTAAACATATTTAAGAAATTTTCCCCAAAGTCCATATACAATAATTGATTAAACATAAAATCCCATTTTACATTGTCGAATGCTTTTTGGGCATCAAGAAAAATTAAACACATTTGCTTTTCATTATGTACTTCATAATATTCCAATATGTCCAAAACAGTCCTAATATTGTTTCTTATATATCTTTTAGATAGAAAGCCGTTTTGATCAATATGTATAAAATCCACTAAGAACCTTTCCAATCTTTGTGCCATTATTGCCATGAAGATTTTGTAATCTGAATTCAAAAGAGAAATGGGTCTATAGTTCTTAATTTGTGTCAGGTTGGTGTTTTCTTTAGGAATCAACGTGAGGAAGGCTTCTTCCCATGAAGCTGGTATTTTAGCTTGGGTTAAAACCTCGTTAAATAAGTCCAACAGCATTGGGCTTAAAGATTCTTGTGCAATTTTATACATTTCTGCAGGTATACCATCTGGTCCAGGTGTTTTATTATTTTTCTGTTTCTTAATTGCAACCAAGAGCTCTAAATGTGTTATCTCTTTATTTAGGAGAGTTTTAAATTCTTCTGGCACCTTGGGTAAATCGACTAGTTGTAAATACTGTACTATGTCATGGTTATTTCTCTTTTCGTCGTCCTTATATAAATTCTTGTAAAACTCATATGCCCCTAGCTTTTTTCCTTCGTTCTGGCACACCATATCACCTTTGGCGTTATAAAGGTTGGTAACTCTCTGCTTATTATTGTGTTTTTTGATTTTATAATCCAACCATCTCCCTGGTTTATTGGCATTTTCAAAGAAATTTTGTTTAGTACGTTTTATCTGCTGTCCTAGATCTTCCTTCGTAATAATATCCATCTTATGTTTAATTAAATCAATCTGTTGTTTCAAATCACATCTTTTTGGTTCATTTTGCAGGTTATCCTCAACTTTACGTAGTTCTTCTTCCAGTTGTCTTTGGCGTTGTGTTTTGATTTTGTGTTGCCTAGCCATATAAGAAATTACAACGCCTCTCATGTAGGCTTTGGTTGTATCCCATAAATTTTGGCAGTTTGTATCCTCCTTTTTGTTTGACTTAAAAAACAGATCCAATTGTTCTTCTAATTTTGATTTGAATTCTTTATGATTTAAGATTGCCCTTTTTAGAGTCCATCTCCTCGTGTTTTTTTGCCCCTTCCATTTAATTCTAATCGGATTGTGATCAGCCCAGGTATTTGTATCAATCATAATCTCCTCTACTTCTAAATTTAAGTCAGCTGACATCCAAACCATATCAATTCTGGACCAAGATTGATGACGTCCAGAATAAAAAGTAAACTGTTTTTTCCCAGGATTCCTTTCTCTCCAAATATCCTGTATATTAAACTCATCTACCATTTTAAAGAAAATATCAGATATTGTTCCTCTAATTCTTTTTCTATTCTTTCCACATTTATAATCTAGATTATTATCCACAATTGCATTATAGTCACCCATTATACAAATGCTATCATGTTCCAATTGGCTAATAATGTTGTAGAGTTTTTTATAGAAATGTTTTTGCCCCTCATTCGGGGCATAAATTCCAACCAAAAGAATTTTGGTTTTATTCAAAATTACTTCCACAATTAGAATTCTGCCATCTTCGTCCTTATAAATTTGCTTAGCCACAATTTCTTGTTTAATATATACTACCACACCTCCTTTCTTATATTGCGAAAGTGCTGCGAACATATTCCCCAATTTTGGACAATTTAATAAGTATTGATGTTGTTTTTTAATGTGGACTTCTTGTAACATTATTATATCTAAATTCATCTTATTGAGCCTATTGAAAAACTTCTTCCTTTTTGTTGGAGAGTTGAGGCCATTAACGTTGATAGATATAGATTCAACACATTTCTTCCCCTCCTTATCTATGTTTAGATCTAGTTACTATTGCTGGTCTAGACTCTTGAGTTTGTAAATCCTTCCCTCTTTCCACGGTTGATCTTATCGGTCTAGCCTCTTTAATTTCCTTAAACCTACTCTCCTCCTGCTTTTCTTCATTTTTCCCTTCATCAGTGTCCTCTCGAAGCTCAACTCTTTTACCTCTAGCTTCAATGGCTTGCACCAGTGTCTCTCCTTCCTCTCTTGTTTCTCTTTCAACTAAATCTTCCTTACTACCAAAGTTTTCCCTGTAGAATTCCTCTGCTTTTTCTATTGAGTCTAGGCGAAACTTTTTCTCCTGCCATGTTACCAGAATTCCTTCCTGAGTTAGCCATCTAAAATTGATATTTTTCCTTATCAGTTTGGAAGTTATGTATTGGTAAGGCCTTCGCAGGTCTCTCACTCTTTTGGGCACTTGTTTAAGTACAATCAGCTGTTTACCTCGATATTCCAGTGTATCATCTCTGAATCTGAAAAGAATTTCATCCCTAACTGATTTCTTAATAAACCTAATGTGCACTTCTCTGGGAAGATTGTGTCGTCTTGCGTAATTTGTGTGTATTCTATAGGTTTCATCTATCTCATTGGCCATCTCCTCTCTTGTAGACCCCAACGCTCCTGCTAGAATATCTTACATTATTACTGGGAGATCTTCACCTTTCATCTCTCCTACATTTTGAAACCGTAGATAATGTGCAGCCTTCTCAAGTTCCAAAGAAATAACTGTGGTTTATAATTCTTTATTGGCTTGAACTAGCCTTTCATTCATTTCATCCACTCTCTGCTCTTCTTTATCAATCCTTTCCTCCATTTCTACTAGTTTTTGTTCATTTTTCATAAGTTGGTGGTGGAAGGATTCAAATTTCCCATCCATAGATTTAATTTTATCTTTAAGTTCACCTGTATCATTCCTTATTTCACCTATTTCTTTTTTCAGATCTTCATGGTTTTTACACATTAACTCTTGCATTGATTGCAGCATTTGTTGCAAGTCTTTAAGTGGTTTTGCCCTATCTTTTTGAGCCATTTCTTCTAGTGATCTTTGCCTAACAGAACCTGGTTCCAGCAATGTAGTTTGAAGTGTC